CGGTACAAAACCCGGGGGGCCGCCAGCCGTGGGGCAGAGCGGGGCGTGGGGTGGGGGCAGAGGCTGCAACTGAGACCGGAGCTTCCTGGTGCTGCAGCCGGGCCAGGACGGCTCCCATCCGGCTGCGTGGGGCCCGGGGCGGCGGCGCGGAGCAGCGCCCGGGGGGGGGAGAGGGGAGCCCGGCATGGCGGGGGGGGGGGGGGCAGGAGTCCCCCCATTCCCCTCCCACTGCCCCACCCCCCCCCCCGGGGAGTCTGTGCGGGGATTCCCCCCCCCGTTCCCGCCGGGGAGTCTGTGCTGGGATCCACCCATTCCCCCCGTCCCCACTGACCCAACCAGCCCCAGGGAGTCTGTGCAGCGCTTTCCCTGCCACTGACCACATCATCCCTCCTCCCCACCTGAGTTCTGATTTCCCTCTCATCAAAGTTAATAAGCAGCCCTAAAGTAAAGCAGCCTTCTGAGCCCGCTGTACTACCCAAGCTCTCCCCCCTCCCCCCGCTCTGCCAGGACCCGGGTGCTGGGCTTGGCGCTAATGAGATACCGAGGGCAGCTGGCCTAGTTGCTAGAGCAGGATTCCTGGGTTCCGTTCCTGGCTCTGCCATGTGGCCGTGGGCAAGTGTCTGTGCCCCTCTGTGCCTCAGTTTCCCTCTCTGTCGAAGGGGGCTATCATCCCCGCCTACACACACAGCCTGAGTGAGCACTGTGGCTGGGGAGCACTCGCTGATAATATTGTGGGTCTGGGGGCGAGTGAACCCACTGTGGTGCCGGGCATGTTACGGGCATAGTAGGGTCTGTTTGGGGAGGGGGAGCCGTACAGGATCATGGGCAGGCCCTGGTGGACCTGGGGAAGGCCCCATTTCCCTGGGGTATTAGGAGCTGGATGTCTCTGATATTCTCATCTCATCTCCAGTTGGACATCATGATGGTCCCTTCTAGCCCTGGAATCCCCCTCTTCATCCCTTTCTTTCTGGGGAAAGCAATATTGCTTGCCTGGGGGCCTCCCCATACCTTTCCCCCACTGACCCATCCAGCAGTGGGGATTCTGTGCGGGGATCTCCCCCCCCCCCATCACCTCCCCTCAACCTGCTCAGACCACCCTCAACTCTGCCTTAAGACAGTGACTTTAATCCAACCTCATGCTTCAGGGCTTCAGCCAGGCACCTGCAAGGGTCAGGAAGGATTCTACCCCTCCCGCCCAACCCAGTTGGCCCACACCCAATATAAAGAGGAGGCGAGTTGAGATCACGCAGCAGGCTTCGTTGCGCTCGTTTGACCTTTGATCCTGTTTCCTTCCCCCATAAACAGGATTCCCAGCCCCCTGCCCCCACGACGCGCTGTTCCAGATGAGGCGAGGGGAAGGGCCCTGTGTCCCGCATCTCCAGGACTCCACGGAAAGGGTGGTCCTGAGGGGAACCCGTACAGGTGAGGAATGCGGGAAATCAGTTTGGGCTTTAGAAGGAAGAGTTGCATCCTGAATCGATCCTAAAAAGCCCATAGGTTTTGAAAGTGGCTAAACAAAATCCCAGACACGGCTTAGCGTTGGGTCAGCTGAATTGCTTTCTTTTGATTGTCCAGTATTTGCATCGACACCAGGCAGCCTTTCACACCAGAGCAGGGTGTATTGGTCACCTGCAACCCAGCGCGGGGAAATCCTTAGGTTAGCACAGAGCCATAAAGCTCAAGACCAGGGGTTCTCAAACTTTTTTTTTTGCTGGAACCCCCTTTGAAAATATTTCAGGCTGTGACAACCCCCCCCAAAAATGACTATCGACCCCACCCATACCAGGCCACCCTTACTTCTGTGCTGCTGCTGGCGGTGGTGCTGCCTTCAGAGCTGGTTGGCTGGAGAGCAGAGAAGCAAGGTTGGCAATACTGCGAACCCCCTTACAATAGGCTTGTGACCCCCTTTTGGGTCAGGACCCCCGGTTTGAGAAATGCTGGTCAAGAAATTGTGCGACCTGGCCACGCCAGCGCAATCCGCCAGCCAAGCTCCTGTGGACTCCGTTTCAGGCTCTCTTCCTCTGGCTGCTTCACAATCCCAAGTGAGGGCAGTTGAGCCTCCCCCAAAAGCCGACTTTTCTCACCTCTCAGTCCGTTGTCCTCAGGCGAGGCCAGGCGGAGTTCACATACCAAGAGGAGTGCTCACTCTTGCGCGCCCACTGGGTACCAATGCAAAGTAGAAATGGAGGCGGGCATAGGTGTCACTCAAATATCACAGAACATTCCCACTTCATCCCATTGGTCCCTTGAATTGGCCCATTGGTCTCAATTGGCCCTTTTCGCAATACATCAAAAGATGGGCGGTACCATTGTCCTCATTTTGCACAGACAGGGGAAGTGACATGCACAAGGTCACCCAGTGCAGACCTGGAGAGAGAGCCCAGCTGGCCTGTGTTCTGTGCTTTATCCACTAGGCCACACTGCTGTGAAGAGTACCCACTGTGATATTTGGTGCTAAAGGGGCCTGTGATAAAGGGGCACAGGGTGAGCGGCCCCTTTAAGGGGAAATGGACCGAGCCTGATTTACATCCCAGAGCTCGTGACTGACAGCCAGGTCTGCAAAGAGATAAAAGGCCCAGGTGGGATTGACCCCGCCTCCTTTTAAAGGGGCCTTGCGGCAGGGCACATGGGTTCTACTCTGCTCCAGACCAAAATGAAAGTGGTATGATTCTCCACTGAAGCATCTCAAACCTCACCACCTTCTGCTCTGAGTGCAAAGCCTCCCTTCTCAAACTGCATAGCAACATGTTTGGGTCGGTGGGTATCCAGACCAAACCAGGCCACTACACACTTCTCCTCCTGGGGAGAGAACAAAGACCACGTGACAGATGTTAGCCACCTTGCTGACTGCATGACTGGAAGAGACTCCAATATTCTGGGATAGGCACGGTATGCAGACCTGAGTAGAATAGAACGACAGTTACAAAATGAGCGACAATCGGAACATCTATCTGGTTGGAAATTGTGACATTTCAATGTTTGTTTTAGTCCTGAATCGGGGTGAAACGTCGAAATGTCGCTTATTTTTTTTTCTATGGAACAAAAAGTTTCAATTAGGAACTGGTGAAGATGTTTTGTTTCAGGTTTGTTTGTTTTGCTTGATGTGGAACATTTTGCCATCCCTGAATGGAAATGCTTCATTGGGGAGCAGTGAGGTGACCCCAAAATGCTTTGCTTTCAGTCGGTTTTGAAGGTTTTTTCTCGGTAAACGTTGATTTCACTGTGCACACACACAAACCCACAAAACAATGTTTCCATTGCTAAAAATTGTAATTTACAGATAGGCAAAGTAAGAAGAATGCTGCTCATCAGAGTTTGATTTAAAGATATTTACTTTGCTCATTTTGACCGGACGTTAACCATTTGTGTTTTAATGGTTATCAAGCTTTAACTTTTTGAATCTCAACATCTACTGTCATAAAATAATTATTGTCTGACCCTCCCCCCATTGTCTGATCCAATTTCCCACAACTGTGAAAATTTAAATTGATAAAAATAAAAAAAGGTACTTAAACCCCATAATTTTACGCAACTGTGAAAATTTAAATTGATAAAAATCAGAAAAAATGCTAAAAAATAAACATTGATATAATCCATTAAAATTATACGTATTAAAAATTGAATTCTGCCCAACCTAGTTTTGAGTTAGTCCAGTATTAAACTTTCATCATGGTGCCTCATGGGAATTGTAATTCATGTGCCTCATGCCCCTCTTCTTGCCTATGGGCTGGGGTGCCTGGCTGGACTGCATCTCCCATGATGCACCACATGCCTCACTGAGAGGGAAGAGTATGTTGCATCATGGGAGATGTAGTCCAGCCAGGGAGCCCAGCCCATATGAGAGAATGGGGACCTGGAACACAACTCCCATGAGGCAATGCACCACAATATGGAAATAATGATAATACCTAGCTGTTTCTCATCAGTAGATCTCCAAGCGCTTCACAGTCCTTAATGTTTTTATCCTGTGAGGGAGGGAAGAGCTATTAGCCCTGTTGTACAGATGCATTTAACATGAAATGCTGTTTAAAGCTGAACTGATTTGCAACTAACTGTTTCAGGCCAGTTGAGCAATCCAAAATATTTCGATTTGGATCAAACTGACCTGGAACAAAATCTTCCGTTTCCGTTTCCCAATGGAAAATTGAAAAGAGTCGGCAAAATTAAAATTTCCACCTGGAAAATTCTGAATGTGATTTGGGGTGGGCTGACGGAGCTGCAGGATCCGTGCTATGCCCCGGCTTTTGAACAGCCCCTGGGAGGAACCCCATCTGTGTGGTGGACCCTCCAGGGGTCCCACTCTTCCTTCACGTAGGCCACACGGCGTCAACGCCTCTGAGACTGAGCTTCTGAGCGCCAGCATTCCTGCTTCACTCTGAGCTGTGCCCAACGAGTCCAGCTGAGCTAGACTCCTGGTCAGAGACGTGTACACCCTTCAGGGACCCGTCCACCTCAGCGAGTATTTGCAGTGACGCCTGGCAGCGTTTGCAAAGCAGAGCAGGGTTTATTAGCTGGAACCCAGCATCGGGAAGTCGTAGGATAGAGAACTAAAGGTTAAGCCGTAGTCCTTTCTAGCTAAGCCAGTGGTCCTCCCAGCCAACCTGCTGTGGATTCCCTTTCTCGATCTCTCTCCATCTCCCTGGTAGTCCCAGAGCTGCTGGCTCTCTCCCAAAGTCACCCTTATTCCAGCCACCTGATGCCTTTCATAGACCATAAGGCCAGAAGGGACCATCATGATCATCTAGTCTGCCCTCCTGCACGTTGCAGGCCACAGAACCTCACCCACCCACTCCTGTAACAGACCCCTGACCTCTCGCTGAGTTATGGAAGTCCTCAAATCATGACGACTTCAAGTTACAGAGACTCCACCATTAACACTAGTTTAAACCTGCAAGTGACCCATGCCCCGTGCTGCAGAGAAAGACAAAAACATCCCATGGTCTCTGCTGATCTGACTCAGGGAAAAATTCCTTCCCTCCCCCAAATATGGTGATCAGTTGGACTCTGAGCATGTGGGGAACACCCACCAGCCAGACACTTGGGAAAAAATTTGCTGTAGTAACTCAGAGCCCTCCCTATGCAGTGTCCCATCACCGGCCGATGGAGATATTTGCTGCGAGCAGTCACAGATCGGCTATATGCCATTGTAGGCAGTGTCACCATATCATCCCCTCCATAAACTTATCAAGCTCAGTCTGGAAGCCAGTTAGGATTTTTGGCCCCCACTCCTCCAGAACTTCACTCCGATGGCTAGAAAGCTTCATCTAATTTCTAGCCTAAACTTGTTGATGGCCGGTTTATATCCATTTGTTCTTGTGTCCACATTGGTGCTTAACTTAAGTAACTCCTCTCCCTCTCGGGTGTTTATCCCTCTGATGTACAGTAGAACTCTGTTTATCCAGCCCTCCCTAACTGACTTGCCACATTTACTGAACAACCAGGACTGCAGGGCCAGAAGTAGGTGATCTCGCCTATGACCACTAGATGGTGCTGCAGCATCATATTGTCTCTTTCTCCGGTTTATCCAGTGTTTTGATGATCTGATCTGGCTCTGACCCCAATTAGACCAGATAAACGCGGTTCTCCTGTACTGCTAAGGAGCGATCATATCTCCCCTCAGCCTTCTTTCGCTGAGGTAAACAAGCCAAGCTCTTTGAGTCTCCTCTCCATATCCAGCTCCTGCAGACCCACGTGCTGCCTGCCGGAGATTCCCGATGCGGTCTTTGCAGAACCTTCATTGATATGGGTTGATTTCAGCCTTTCTCTGGCTCTGCCCCAAGAGCGGATCTTTAACCCGGGGGCACCCAGGGGTGGCCATGCAAAGCACCGAGGCATCGGAACTGTTGGACTGTGACAGAAAATTCCCCCTTCCTCACAGGAGGAAAGCGTGTTGCCTGTTGAAATATCGTCCCCCTGAGAAATTCCCAGCCGGCTGCCATGAGCAGCCCCTGGCGTCTCCCTCGGCCCAGGGAGTGACTCACCCCTCTCTTGTCTCCACAGGTGGCGGGAGTGAGCCTGAGGTGGGAGATCTCTGGCAAGAGGCAGCACAGCCACACAGGATGTCCACGAGAGGCTCTGCTGGGAACAATCCCCGGGGCCCGGACCCAGAACTAGCCTGGGGGGCCGAGGCCGGGGGGCAGCAGGGGGACTCTGAAGTGGAGTGTCTGGGCCCAGCCTGGAGGGATGAGGCTGAGGCCGGGAGCCAGGAGGGAAACTCCCCAGTGGAGCGGCTCGGCCAGGCCTGGGGGAGCGAGGCAGAGGACCAGCCGGGCCAGGCCCCTCCCTACGCTGGCGCCTCGGCCCCCCGCCCATCGCCGGGGAAGCCCTACAAGTGCACGGAGTGCGGCAAGGGCTTCAGCCAGAGTTCCCACCTGATGCGCCACCTGGGCACCCACACGGGGGAGAAGCCCTACAAGTGCGGGGCCTGCGCTAAGAGCTTCACCCAGAACTCCAACCTGCTGCAGCACCAGCGCATGCACACGGGCGAGAAGCCCTACCACTGCCCGCAGTGCGGCAAGCGCTTCTCCTGGAGCTCCAACCTCATCCAGCACCAGCGCCTCCACACCGGCCAGAAGCCCTTCCAGTGCGCCCAGTGCGGCAAGCGCTTCTGCGAGAGCTCCCGCCTGCTGGAGCACCAGCGCATCCACACCGGCGAGAAGCCCTACCGCTGCCCGCAGTGCGCCAAGAGCTTCAGCCGCAGCTCCCACCTCATCCGCCACCAGCGCATCCACACCGGCGAGCGCCCCTACAAGTGCACCCAGTGCGGGAAAAGTTTCAGCCAGAGCTCGGCGCTCATCCTACACCACGGGACCCACGC